TACATCGTTAGGGAGAAAATGTACAAGTTTCAAAGCTTAAACTCTCCCAAGAGAATATTCTTTCCCCTTCCACTGTGTTTCTTGTCTCCCTGGGACCTCCACAGACTACTAACCAAGCCCTAAGCTGTTAGTTACCCTTATGACCCTGCCTGCTTTCCCAAGCCCAGGCCTCTGCCCCACTGTCCCAAATGTGTGAAAGAACAACCATAACTTCCTTTAAAGGTCTTTTAAAGTATTATAGAAAGAGCACTGAACTTGGGAGACCCAGGTTTTATTCTTACACTCACGGTATGATCCTGAGCCTCTCAACCTTTGTGGGGGTATTTTCTGATCCATAAAATGAAGAGCTACTCACAGTGTGATCATGAGCCTCTCAACCTCTGTGGGGGTATTTTCTGATCCATAAAATGAAGAGATTGGACTTTATTATATCCAAGGTTTCTTCCAACTCTACCATATCTGTAACTTCACCTTCTTTCCCTGGCTGAACTAGCTTTTCCTAGATATGCAATATTTCCCCACCCTAATCTCACACCCACTCTCTTAGAAAGTATTTACAACTGTGGGCCAGCTTCTGGACTAGGATCTTTGTGGCAGATGGTCTTAGGGAGACTGTATCCCCTCTGCTCTGCTTGCACCTGCTTGCTGCCCCCATGAAAAGCAGTGTATGCACAGAGAATAGAAGTGAATTTACTATTAGTATACGTGACTCATATTCAGGATGTTTGTAAATCTGCTATCAGAACATAACACAGTGCATTCAAAGGTAATTAAAAATGCATTTTACATTCCTGTTGTTTATCATTATCTGTGTATTTGTTGTCTACATTAGTATAGTTAGCAGAGAACTATGGCCTCAGACAACATTGGTGCCAGAAGGAACCTTAGTGAACATCTAGTATGATGCTGTTGGTGGTGGTGGCTTGAATAGATACATTTTTTATGCATTTGCCTGTGGCTCTGTCTATCTTTCTTTGTGGGTACCCTAAGGTTGTGGGACTTCAAATCATGTATCTGTTTGCTCACATTGGGTGGAAACATCCCTATTATTCCAACTGTACTCCTTTCTTCTGCTTTTACTATAAAATATGTAGTGGGAAGAAAAATAAAGACATAAGGAGATCTTCCCAGCAAGGAAAAAAAAAAGAAAGGAAGGAAGAAAAAAAGAAAAGAGAGAAACATAGTATGCATGAGATACAAGTGTTCCAGAAGAAAGTTCACTTTTCCTGATATTTGAAAGGAAGAGAAATTATACCACGTGTCCTCCTGGAGGAGCCACTAAGTCAGTGCTGTAGATCACACCCTCAACAATAGCCTATTAATACCTATAATGCTAAATTCATTCGTTCATTCAATAAGCATTTATTGAGTGCCTACTATGTGCCATGTATGTTTCAGTGTACTACAGTTATTATTTTTGATGCTGAAATTATCCTGTCATTGGCTAGTGGGAGGCAGTTGACACCTGTATCATTTTGACATGACTCTGCTCTGATACTCTTTTATTTTCTCGTATGACAAGATGTCCCAGTTCATGTTGTATATTCTCAGCTCCATAAATTGTCCATTTTGCTAAAGAAAGCAGATTTATTTTAGTGAAATGTGGCTTTAAAGACCACGATCTGAATATTTGGAGTGCTTATTGTTCCTGGGTTATAATTATTTCCAAGCCTCAGCTAACAGACTGGGAAATATGAATGTTTTTAAAAAATATTCTGAGTTCATACTGCCATTTCCCACTGATATTAAAGGTTGAACTTTTTTTTAACTTATTTTATTTTATGTGTGTATCTCTTTTCTCTGACTTTGAAAATCTTAGTTCCCAATGACATAAATATAATTACTTATTTGCTTTCTCTAATAGATTCTTATATGTGTGGATTCATATATATACACTAGGAACAGTACCCACTTAATTCAATTTAAGATTTCTTTGTGGGTATTTTTTGTCCTTAGGATATATAATCAAGTTATTGTTACTTAAAATAATTCTTCTCTATGTGGTTATACCATCAACTTGATATAGTTTGGTTCATTTATTTAAATTTATTTTTAATTCTTAAAGATTGATTTTCTTCTTTTTTTATATCATCCAACTCTCTCTTCTCAATACTGAGCCATTCACTGCTTCACCAGCTCCTCATGTGTGAATCTCTGTGAATGTGTGTGAACATTGGAGTTGATTGCCTACCCATCGGGGAGCCCAGTATCATGATATGTAAGGTCTCTACACTGGATATCCATGGACTGCAGGAGAACCTCACATGAGTTCAGTCTGTCCCACGGGGCCTTTGCAATGTACGCAGAAATTTATCCCCTAGGGAATTTATGTCCAGATGGGCAACCCCATCGTATTCACAGAATCTCCCAAGGATGATTTGGACTTAAAATTGTCAGCCTTCTAGGATCCAGTGTTGATCAGGGTTTCTCAATCTTAGTATTATTGACATTCAGGGCCTGAGAATTATTTGTTCTTTGGGCCATCCTGTTAATTGAAGGATGTTCAGCAGTATCCCTGGCCTCTACCTACTAGATGTCAGTAGCACCCTCCTCTCAATTTTTGTGTGTTTTTTTGTTAATCCTCACCCGAGGATATTTTTCCCAATGATTTATTTATTATTATTTTTAGAGAGAGAAAGAGGAGAAGCGGGGAGAGAGGAGAGGAGAGAGAAACATCGATATGAGAGAGACACAGATTGGTTGCCTCCCGCACACACCCTGACATGGGCCAGAGAATGACCCTGCAACATAGGTATGTGCTCTTGATGGGGAATCAAACCTCAGGGCACAGGCCAAAGCTCTAACCACTTAACACGCTGTCCAGGGCTCCTCTCAGTTTTGACAACCACAATATCTCCAGACATTGCCAGATGTTCCCTGGGGATGAAAGTCATTCCAGTTGAGAAAGACTGATTTAGACAGACTATTGTGGGCCACGCTGCAGGGAACCCATAGTCGTGAACTAAACATGGAAACACCCACCAGATCATTTGATGTCTTCTCAGGAGAAGTCAGTCCAGAGTGTCTGCCCACCGAAGGGTGTGTGCCAGGAGGACACTGGTTTTGGAATGTAATTCCTGGATTCAAGTCCTGCCTTTACAGATTTGGAGCAAGTTTCCTCACTTCTCTGCTCTACGTTTCTTTATTTGTAAACAAGGGGTTGATGTTGTTTACCTGGCATGACACTGTTGTAGTGAGGACAAAATGAAGTTCTACACACACACACACACACACACACACACACACACACACACACACTGATATATACTTCAATCTGATTTAAGGATACACAAACATGGACTTGATAATGGTTCAGACATAAGTGTATTTATTTGCCAATATGATTAAAAGGGAAGTCCAGCCAGTGCTGCTCAGTGGTTGAGCATCGACCCATGAACCAGGAGGTCATGGTTCGATTCCAGGTCGGGGCACATTCCCAGGTTGCTGGCTCAATCCCCAGTAGGGAGCATGCAGGAGGCAGCCAATCAATGATTCTCTTTTATCATTGTTGTTTTTATCTCTCTTTCTCCCTCCCTTCCTCTCTCTGAAATCAATAAAAAACATTTTTAAAATTTAAAAAGGGAAATATAGGAAAAATATACCTTCAAATCCATCATGTAGTACAGGCTTCACTAAAGATTACAGTATTACTCTTATGCTATAAGGCACAATAGGAGATGTCTAATTTTAAATAGAAGAAAAAGAACAAAAGGTCTTTTTAGCAATATCAATTAGATTAGGATGCAAATAGTCATGTTTCTATATTTACTTCTTAATTTTGCATTCAGTAATCTGACTAGACTGCACAAGAATTTAAATGTCTTGACAGGAGATAGTAGCTGTTAGTTCTCTTGGGATTTCACTATAATGAACCTGGTAAATAATTCAGGACCATAGGAGAGGCCAATGAGTCGGCAGCACCTGGTGCTATATTATTCATGCTTAAGCACGCAGAATCCAAAGATAGCATTCGACACCTGTCACTATTGTTCTGGCTTAAACAGAAATTCTATGTTCTGGGGCAATTGAAATAATAATTGGTATTTTTTCCTCTTCCAATTTTTCTCCACAATAAAAGAAAGGTGTGCTAAACTATTTTAAAAACAGAAGTGATATCGTCTTATAAATTTCCACTGGTAAAATTTCAAATCTGTTTTCTCTATTAAGTGATAGAATGCTTTAAAGAATTAGGGACCTGCCTGCCTTTTCTGCGGGGGCTAAACTGAGTGTTTCTGTATTTCTACTTTTGTTCTGCAAGGTAGAGCTTCTCTTTATCACAGTATTCACATTGTGAGCATCTTCTGAGGGAAATAACGCCATCCTCTGTCCAGTTGCTCACTCTGAGGGCATCTCTAACGTCCTCAGTTTCTCCCCCTATTATCCAAGTGGTTTACCCCACTTCTTCTAGTAGTCTAACACTTTATAAACAAGCGGGAAACGATTGGCAAAGGGCTCATATATTCTCCTGTGCCTCCAGCTGAGTGGACATAGGCAGTCCCTCCATTCCCCAAGAGAACAAGAGCCGGAATGAGCGGCAGACATTGCATGCAGACAGCGGGGGGGCACCAGAGCTCCCCATCCTCCAGGATCAGACAGAGCTTCAGCCATGAGTTGCATGAAAGATGTTGGAAGGGCAGGGGATTTCTCAGTAGGGAAAAAAGGAAGATGCGCTTCACATCTCCGAACTAAAGTTTTTACAGTGCTGGGCCATAAAAAGGACCTGAAGAAAGACTGTAGGGCTTTATATCGCTAAAGCTTTATATCTAATTGTCAGATGTGCTTTGTCTTTGCTTTTAAATGATTGCTTATTAAAGAGGTTTACAATATATTTTATTTAAGTATACTATTTTAAACCTTTGTTATATATAATAAAGTATATAACTGTGTGTAATAAAAATATAACTATCTAATGAAAATATATAAAATATTTTAAACCTCTAATAGACCATTTACATATACATAAATGTATAATTTATTTTTAACAGGTTTGATTGCTTTCCTTCGGGACCTGTGTGAGAGTACTTGGAGCAGTGACTGCCCTCTGGTGGCAAGCTAGAATCATCACTTTGTGGTTACCAAGATGCCCACTCCGGACTCACATGGTATGCACTGGCAACAGGGCACCTCGAGAGCCTGGTGGGTGACTGAGGAAGGAGCTTAGTGAAATCACCCTTCGCTTCCACCTGAATGAGTTGTCCATCCCGGAGTTTGAACCAGGAGCCAGCCCCAAAATGGCACCTCTGAAGACAAGACTTGAGATGCTCTTTTGTTTTAGACAAAGATCTGCTGGTTCCCTACCAGCGGGTGATCAAGACTGAATACGCACACACCAAGAGGGGCATGTGATGACATGGAGCCTGAAATAAACTGCTCTGACCTGTGTGACAGTTTACCTGGCCAGGAGCTGGATCGGAGGCCCATTCATGATCTCTGCAAGACAACAATTGTAAGTAAGCAGCCCTGGGGTGTCAGGGGGAAAGGAGGAAATGTTAATGAAGGACATGTATTTCCAGGCTTTGGTGATGATGGGGCAGTTCACCTTTGATCTACAGATGCGCCTCCTTTCTAACAGCTTCTCTTTATTCTGTTCTCAGACCTCTTCCCACCACAGTAAGACCGTTTCTTCATTATCTCCTGCCCTCGTGGGTATTGTGTGGACTTTTCTCAGCTGTGGACTTCTTCTGATAGTCTTCTTTCTTGGCTTCACAATTCGTTTCAGAAAGAACAGGTAAGCAGCCCATGCCTAGATTCCCATCTCCCATAGCCTGAATCATGAAACCCAGAATGTTAGTATCCTTTTGATACTATAAAGTGCCAACTGGTATCAGTATATCTTGTCTCCTTCTGTGGCATTAAGCTATGTAAGAACTTCCCCTGCAAAGGGTCCTGGCCTTGGGGTAGAATTCCCTCTGGAGGAGAAAGATTTAGCCCAGTGTTGTGCTACCTACTGCAAGGATAACCCCCCTCCCCCAAAGAGCATGGAGACCCTCTCCTCATAAAGGTGGCCACAACTCTTCTAAGAAGATGAGGTGTTCGTATTAAAAATGGAGAGCATGTAGAAATCTTCTGAAGCAATACTAAGTTTATGGCAGCACAATTGGAACCAATCTGGCTGGGTAAAGGTTTCTGCATAAACAGTGAAGCCCTACGACCTGGTTGTTCTGCTAGACAATTCTGACTGGTTGGAAGGTCTCTGGCTCATCAGGGTAAGTATCTGTGGCTCCTGGGGCTGACAAAAGGAGAAAATGATGACTGTCTTCTGAAGGGTCTTGCAGAATCTTGTCTTCACTACTATTCAACCCTTCCCTCAAGGACCAACCCTTCCATCCCTTCCACTCCAGCACTCTGCACCTCATCCTGCCCCAGCTGTTCCAGGAGGCCTCCAGTCCCCTCTTCCTGCCCCACAACTGTTTTTTTTCTGGATGGAGCCCACATCAGATTTCAACAACTCCCTCAGAGAAGCCAAACTTGTCTGGCCCCACTCCAACCTTAAACTTGGTGGTGATCAAGTGTATCGTGCTGCGTTACCTGGTTTGGCACTCAGAGGAGGACCAGTCAGTAGAATTTGTCTAGTGGGCATTTTGGGGTGTCATTGGCCATTTGAGGCATGGAGGACATGGAATTATTAAGTAGCAGTGACTTACCCCGCAGACCAACCTCAACATGGCAGTGATATGTGATACTCTGTCCTGAGTATACCCCTACCGCTGCTCCAGCCACTTTCATTCTCAATTACACTAAACCTACTCCCATCACAAGGCCTTTGACTTACTGCCCCTTACTGTCCCCACTACCTAGCAGTCTTCTCCACATCTTTCCATGACTAGTTACTTCTCATCATGTAGGTCTTCGCTCAAATGTCACCTCTTCAGAGAAGTCTTCCCTGATCATGTTATCTAAAGAAGCCTCTTTACCCAATGGCTACCCAGTCCCCATATCTCATTCCATATCCCATCACTATTTTATTTTCTTCATAGTAAGTATAACTCTCTGATATTACCATATTTATTGATTTACCTTCTTATTGTCTGTATCCCACACCAGAATATAAAGACTGTAAACTCTGGGACCTTTTCTATTTTGCTCACTA